TCTTTTTCTTAATTATATTTAGTTTTGTCCTCTTCCTGCAACAAAAGAATAAAAACATCTTAATCAGTAAGATATTGCCTGAAACTTATTTGTTATAACAAATAAGACATATCATAAGGTGACTTGCTGACATGAATCCAGGAGGAAGAAGAAAATAATTTATATATTTGAACTGTTTAAATAAATATCAAGAGGCCTTTTGGCAAATGTGTATGATGAAAGAAATGGTCATGGAAGTTCTTACATATTGATTGTTCTGTGGAGAACATGAACAAGATAAGTGTGATTAGGAAGAAAAGGATCTGTGCAAGAGACCTGGCTCAATACTAGTTAGTGGTGTGACCTTGGCAAGTGGCTCTTTCTGGGGGTAGAGGGGGGCACATTAACTTCTTGGAGAATTTGATGAAAGCTCTAGATAGCTGCCCAGGAAAAATGTTCATAAGCACAGTGTTTACTTCAAATTGTGCATATGGTATCAGGAGGCTTATGCACCACCTCTAGCCCATTCATGTTGGTTTATTGATTCTTGATGAAAACCTTTGACCTGGTTACTCTCTAAAGTCCCTGGCAGCTCTAAATTACTTTTTTTAAAGTATAACCTTAATTACTTTCAGTCTTGAAATTCTGTTTTTTCACAGAGTAAATGCTAATGAATTCTGTTCTTTTTAAATAGTTTTTATCTATGAAAATACTTAGATTAGTTAAGCAGTGTGTATTAAATAAAAATCTGTATTAGTTTTTTTAATTTTTAGAATTTGTAATAGGGACAAAGACAAGAGCCAGAAATAGCCTGAAAAAGAAAAGAAAATTCTTAGAATTTAAAAAAATTTTAAGTTATCTGGCAAAAAGAAAAAGTACTTTCTGTGTGTGTGTGTGTGTGTGTGTGTGTGTGTGTGTGTGTGTGTAGTTAGCTGAAAGTCTTTTTCAAGTAAAAAATGATTGAGGTTTGGAAAGAATGTAAGTAATTTTCATGCCAGATCTTTAATCCAAAATACTCAAGGGTAGCCAAAGTACTGCATTTTAAGACACAGTACTTAAACTTCTTTGAATTAATTGTGTAGTCAACTGTGGCATTCCATGATCACCAGATAATGTTTTCTTTTTGGCCTTCTATTATGCTTTGTGGAAACTTAGTACAAAGTCCAGGAAGTTGATGTGTTTTTAGCAGTTCAACTTCTACTGAAACAGTTGGAAGATCAGCTCATGATTTCTAATTTTTTAAACTGATTTTACTCTTTTGATTGAAGTATGATTTTTTCTTTCCTGTTTGGAAAAGTAAATATTTTGACCCCTTTTAAATGTACAATTCCATTTAAGTGATGTTCAGAATTTATCTAATGAATTTAAAAAGATTTTGCTAGAGCTGACATTGTTGACAGTAAAAAGTCAGCCAGTTTTCTGTAGTGTCAAATTTCAGTCTGAGAAACTATGGAATTTACATGGCTTTGTCTCATAAGTTAATAAGTGGGTTTGCCAATTCTTAAAGACCCAAGCACTGGAGATTGTGCTATGTTGGAAATCATGAGCAGAAAACTTACATGGTGTAATAAAATTTGCCCCTTTAGGTTAGCTTTGGTGTAGTAGGCAAGTGGTCTGACTCTTTTATATCATACTAGAGGCCTGGTGCATGAATTCATGCATGGGCACTATCCGCCAGCCTGGCCAGCGATCAGGGCCGATCGGGGCCGATTGGGACTGGCAGGCCATCGGGAGGTTGGCCGTGGGAGCGCACTAACCACCAGGGGGCAGCTCCTGCATTGAGCGTCTGCCCCCTGGTGGTCAGTGCACATCATAGCGACCAGTCATTCCATAGTTCAGTTGATTTGCGTATTAGCCTTTTATTATATAGGACTAGAGGCCCGTTGCAGGAAGATTCCTGCAAGAATAGGGCTTCCTCAGGCCTATTCCTGCAAGAACAGGGCTTCCTGAGGCCAGAGCGAAGCAGAAAAGGGAGCTTAGCTCCCTCCCTTCTCGGAAGATTCCTGCAAGAATAGGGCTTCCTCAGGCCTATTCCTGCAACCCTCCCTTCCCTGCCGCCTTGGCTCCCTCCCGTCTCCGCCGCCTCGCTCCCTCCCTTCTCCGCCACTTCGCTCCCTCCCGTGTCCGCTGCCTCAGCTCCGCTCCTGTCTCTGCTACCTCCGATTCATTCCCTTCTGCAGTGCTTGGCTTCCTTCTACACTGCCTTCAGTCTTCACTGGGCACCTGTGTATGCAAATTAACCATCTCTCTTGGGTTAATTTGCATACTCTTCTGATTGGCTGGTGGGCATAGCGAAGGTATGGTCAATTAGCATCTTTGTCTTTTATTAGTGTAGATGTAACTCTGTGTGTGGTAGAAGAAATCTTAGAAAAATGAAACAAGACACAGATCTGTGAAGCAAATATTAACAGGTATTAACAAATAAAAGCCATATTCATTTATCAACCTTTACTATAAAAGCCACTAAGAGAGAAGGTTAGGGCTTTTTTTTTTTTTTAATATATTTTATTGATTTTTTTACAGAGAGGAAGGGAGAGAGATAGAGAGCCAGAAACATCGATGAGAGAGAAACATCGACCAGCTGCCTCCTGCACATCTCCCACTGGGGATGTGCCCGCAACCAAGGTACATGCCCCTGACCGGAACCGAACCTGGGACCCTTCAGTCCGCAGACCAATGCTCTATCCACTGAGCCAAACCGGTTTTGGCGTTAGGGCTTTTTTTTTTTTTTCCTCTTTCTCACATCAGTTTTTTCTTGGCAGGTCTCTTATTTTTTCCCTTTTTTAAGATGGATGACCGTTGTCATTCCCTGCTTTCTATATATACTGACAAAATGCGGTACAGAATGAGAAAGGAAAAATAAACTCAACTAGGAAACATTTAAAAATATTTCCAGCATATCTGAAACAATAAGATACTTTACAACTTACAAAAACTTGACTGTTGGGTTTAGGCAAAACCATTAAATTACACCTCTCAACACTTCTGAGTTTGGAATCAATAGGAAAAAAGACATAGGACACAGACAAATGGGACCTCACAACATCAGCTTTAATACTGATGAAATCCGGATGGAAAGACATGCCTTTGGCTGCAGTGGCCCTTCTAATACTTCACCTGATTTAAATTTATCCAGTTAACACAGCAGGGCCTTTTCTGTGGGGATTGGGGACAAAGGAGTGCAGAGAAAACTACTTTAGCCGCATATTAGGAAAGCAGGACAAACTGATTTCTCTCTGCTGTTAGGCAGCAATGTCTGGCACCAAATTTCAGCTCCACAGATGGGAATGAATAGGGGGCTGAGAGAAGCTAGGGGTGTCCCTTCCTTCTGCCCCTACCCCGAAACTGGAAGAATACGGAATAAGAATGACCCTTTCCCCCATCACGGCCATATAAGTCTCATTCATAGAGTCAAGCTCTATCTCTGCAACATAGAGAAAAAGAATGATCTTCTCTCTCATGGGTGCTTGAACACATTTGGTTTGTTTTGCTAAGAAGCTTTTAGTGTTGATTTAAATGTAAGAAATTTGAATATTTGAAGGGATAGGAAAAAGGGAAATGTGTGTGTCTGTCTTCAGTTTGAAAGGTGATGAGGAGGAACCTAGTCCCCCACATTTATTTGCATTGGAATCTCTACTTCACCAGTCCCCTGACAGTGGATAGGGGGGTAAGGGATGGTGCATGAAAAGAACAGAGTATTACACATTATTGGCTTATTTATGTACCTTTTCATTGGGTTTTCCTCCTTAAAATGTAATAAAGTAGTAATTCCCATCCTATATTAATCAGAGAAGCACATTTAATCTGTAATATTTTATTTTTAATTAAATTTTTGTTGATTGGTTTTAGAGAGAGGAAAGGAGAGAGGGGAGGGGAGAAAGAGAAGCATCGATTGTTCCACTTATTTATCCATTCATTGCTTGATTCTTGTATGTGCCCTGACCAGGGATCGAACCCTGCAATCTTGGCACATCCAGATGACGTCTAACCAACTGAGCTACCCTGCCAGGGCCTGTAATTGGAAAAATATTTTTAAATTACTTTTTATTGCAGATGTATGCCAGTTAGCTACATTCTAAGTCATTTTTGTGGCAGGACATAAACTGAAAACCAAATCCAAAATGTCTTTGTGGCATAAGAAATTAATGTGGAACGTTATCTGATGGCCTTTCTTAGTAATTGGATACCTGTGGGCTCATATTTCTTTTATGGAAATTTCTTATAGTAACCAAAGTCTTTTAGATATGAAAATTTAAAGTATTGACTTTGTTTTGTTTTTATGATTTAATGAGAATTTAAACTTCATTCTGAACTTACTACGATTGTAATGGTGATGCATATTGGAACCAGGTTTTTATTGTGGAGGTTATTTATTTTGCTTTTTTCCCTTTATATCCTTTTCAGTGAGAGACACTTTCTTCTTAGTTATATACTCTTATGCAGTAAATTACCTTGTACATACCTTGTCCTAGAAGAAAACAATTTACATATGCCTGTATTATGACAGTGAAGTACCAGTAGATGCCCAATTATTACAAATAGTAACAAATTATTACTGAAAATCACTGAATAGTATTTTCCCAAAAGATTTTTACTTAATCCTTTACATTTTCATAGTTTCTCTTGAGCTTTGTTGTTCTCATTTCTTGGATTTTATTGTTAAGTGCATGCATGTATAGTCAGTTCAAGTCACATTATAGGTGATTTGAAGCAAATATTTGCATCTTATTTAAAGCTTGTCATTTTCTCTCCAATTTATTTATCTCTCTAATATCTCTTTTGATGACTTTTCTAATATTTCTATGTAGGCAGGTATTTTTAATTGAGTCTTGTTAGTCTAATAAAAGTAGAAATAGAAATAATTTTATTTAAAATTATTTTGTGTTGTCTTGGGAGTAAACTTGAGAAATTATTATTAAGTAGTTCCATGCTTATCATAAAAAACATAATTCATGTAACTTTCTTGTATTTCAGAAACCTTTTTTCAAAAAGAACAAAGGAACTCAAATCAGTTGTCCATAGTGCTCCTGGTTGGAAATTATTTGGTAAAGTTCCTCCCAGAGAGAATCTTCAGAAAACTTCCAAAATTATTCAGCAGGTAAGTACTAACATAGCCATGTGTTTTGTCTTAGTTTTTCAAATATATTTTCTTGATAATTAACCATGTCCTACTTTCATTTATATTTTTTAAATATATTTTTTATTGATTAAGATATTACATATGTGTCCAGAAATAATTATGAGAGAGAATCATTGATCGGCTGCCTCCTGCACGGCCCCTCTGGGGATTGAGCCCGCA